TCTCAAAAAAAAACATAGAGTATGTTAGTTAGATGGTGATAAGTAGAAGAAAATGAAGCAGGGGTGCCCCAGGGAGTGGCACTTTTAGATAGAGTGGTTAAAGATCTCATTAAAGAGGTGACATTTGCTCAGCTGGCTGTGGTGATATACGCCTGTAGTCAGAACTACTCAGGAGGCTGAGGTGAGAGGAACACTTGAGCCCAGGAGTTTGAGGCTGCAGTGAGCCGTGATCATACCACTGCACTTTAGCCTGGGCAACAGAGCAACACCCTATCTTTTAAAAAAAAAAATGCTGACATTTGCCTGAAGAGCTGAAGGAGGTTGAGAGAGTGAGGCAAGGGGTTTATCTGGGGGAAGAATATATCAAGCAAAGGGAATAGCAAGTACAAAGATCCCTGAGAAGCCAGTATAATTGGAACATATTGGATGTTGATATTTTGTTTCTTATGGATACTTTTATTTTTTTGAGACAGAGTTTCACTCTTGTGTCCAGGCTGGAGTGCAGTGGCGCAATCTTGGTTCACTGTGACTTCTGCCTCCTGGGTTCAAGCAATTCCCTTGCCTCAGCCTCCCAAGTAGCTGGGATTACAGGCGTCCACCACCACATCCAGCTAATTTTTTTAAAAATGTGTTTTAGTAGAGGCCAAGGCTGACCTTAGCATGAGTGATTCAAGATACTCAAAGTGAGGCAGATGAGCCCAAAAAGAATAGATGCAAAAGAAAATTTCAGCCAATGAGTTTGTATATAGAAACTATTGAACAGTGAGTAGGATTTGTGTGTGTGTGTGTGTGTGTGTGTGTGTGTGTGTGTGTGACAGAAGTCTCACTCTGTCAACCAGGCGGAAGTGCAGTGGTACGATCTCAGCTCACTGCAACCTCCACCTCCCCGGTTCAAGTGATTCTTGTGCCTCAGCCTCCCAAGTAGCTGGTACTACGGGTGCCTACCACCACGCCTGGCTGATTTTTTTTGTATTATTAGTAGAGACAGGGTTTCACCATGTTGGCCAGGCTGGTCTCGAACACCTGACCTCAAGTGGTCCGCCTGCCTCAGCCTCTCAAAGTGCCAGAAGTACAGGCATGAGCCACCACACCCAGTAGGATCTTTTTAAGTATAATATTTTCTGATTATTAAAATAATACATATTATTGGCTGGGCGAAGTGGCCTGTAATTTTTTGTATTGTTGATAGAGATAGCGTTTCACTGTGTTGGCCAGGCTGGTCTCAAACTCCTGACCTCAGGTGTTCTGCCCATCTTGGCCTCCCAGAGTGCTGGGATTACAGGCGTGAGTCACAGCACCCAGCCATGTTGTCATTCCTCTTAGTTAAATACCTAGGCATGGGATTGCTATGTATATAATAAGTATACGTTTAACTTTATCAGAAACTGCCAGACTGTTTCCCAAAGTGGCTTTGCATTCCTACCAGCAATGTATGAGGCATTGCATGATTAACCCTGGGTTGTATATGTGTACTGGGCTCATGCCGGGTGGTGGCTCTGGGACACATGGAGGGGAGGTATGGGTGGTGAGGGTTGTTTTTCTGCCATCAGTATAGTGTGCCTTATACCATTCCTCTGTGACTGCTTGACCTTGGGGCTTTTCTTGAGCCAGAGTAAGTGGCCCCAGCAGATGCCATTTTGTAGCCTCATTAACTAAATTCTGGATGAGTGAGCTAAGGGCCCAGGGGCTTTCATAAGTTACAGTCATTTTATTTGCATTACTTAAAAAGTTAAGAATATTAAGGCATTTTTTTTTCCAACAGATCCTTAAACCAATTTGATAGATTTGGTGGATGGACTGTGGGGGAAAACTGTATGCTGTGCCAGGATGGATGTTCTGTGTTTCTTATGTGTTCATAGTTTCATGGACAAATGTGAGGCAATGTGGAAAGCTAAAATAGATGCTAAATCTGAAGCTAGTATTTTGCATTTATTTCCTGTCTTTCTAGGTACTGGGCCCACACATTGCATGGGCTTTATGGTAACCGTTAATTTTCCAGCCTTCCAGGGAAACTGAGCCTTAGACCCTAGAGGTCATATGCAGAGAGAGAGAGAGAGAGAGAGAGAGAGAGAGAGAGAGAGAGAGAGACAGGTGACATGGAGATTGTTGCATCTGGTATAGTTGGCTTTTCTTTCTTCTGGTGTAGTTGAAGCCCCTACGGAGGAGGCTGATTTGCTTTGTAATCTTTGGAAAATTAATCCTTCATTTTCTTGCAGAGATAGGGGCTGTGAGGGACCCTAGAACAGAAACTCTGCTTATTTGCAACTCCAAATGTGAGAAGTATGTTTTATAGTGAAACCATACGTATGTTCATATTGAGAGTTTGAACATAATTGAAACAAAAGGATCATAAAATAGGACTTACCTTATTATGTGCAATGCATTGATATTTTGCAAGAGTGCTGGGATTCTGAGCAAGAGCCACCATACCTGGCCTGGATTGTGTTTCTAAGGCCTGGCCCATGAGGAGCATCTTGTGCTTTAACAGTTTTATAGTACAGTGCCTGACATATGCTTTGGTACTGGCCGGTGGACCATGAACCAGTAGCTTCTTTTGATATTACTCTTATTCAGAAGGCCTTTTCAGCAGACTAGTGTCAACCAGTCTGGAGAAAAGGCTTTTGAGGCCAGACTTCTCAGAGCTCCATCTTGGGGATAGAGCCAGGAATGGCTAGAATGTACTCATGTTTACAGTGCCAATGCCTGTGTTCAATTTCTGGACTCTTCTCAATATATGCCGTCCTGGAGGCTTTTGTGGTGATGAGAAGGTGGTACCAAGTGATGAGAACCTTAGGTTTAGATTCTCTGCTCTTTGCATATGGGAAAACTTATTGATTCCTAGCCCTTGAGGTCAGTTGAGGCCCACAGTCAGGCACTCTCTGAAAGGAAGAGATTAACACCAGTTTACACGCTTTAAAAGAGGCTACTTTATAAACAGAAAATATTAACTAGGTGGGGTGGCATGTGCCTGTAGTCCTAGCTGCTTGGGAGGCTGAGGCATGAGTATCCCTTGAGCCCAGGAGTTTGAGGGTATAGTGAGCTATGATCCTGCCATTGCACTCTAGCCTGGGCAACAGAATGAGACCCTGTTTACTTTAAAAAAAAAAAAAAAAAAAAAAAAAAAAAAAAAAAAAAAAAAAAAAAAAAAAAAAAAAGTAAAATAAAAATTGGCTGGGCGCAGTGGCTCATGCCTGTAATCCTAGCACTTTTAGGAGGCCAAGGTGGGTGGATCTCCTGAGGTTAAGAGTTCAAGACAAGTCTGGCCAACATGGTGAAATCCCATCTCTACCAAAAATACAGAAAAATATTAGCCAGGCATGATGGTGGGCATCTATAGTCCCAGCTACTTGGGAGGCTGCGGCAGGAGAATTGCATGAGCCTGGGACACAGAAGTTGCAGTGATGAGTGAGATTGCACTTCAGCTTGGGCAACAGAGCAAGACTCCATCTCAAAAGACAAGTAAAAATTAAGCTGGGCAGTGCCAGAGATCATGGGCCCTAGAGGCAGCTGTGTCGGTTCACTTGGGAGACGTGGCTTATTGTCCCTGGCCCTGGGTGAGTTTCCTAATCTTCTCTAATCAGCTTCATTGTTTGCAATAGGGAGAGTAGTGTCTACCTCAAAGAAAGTATCGTGAGGACCAAATGGTGTAAGAAATTCCTGGAACGAGCCTGATACATAATAGGTCATTTCCCCACATGGAGGACAGAGGGCATGTCTCCTCCAGATCCATCCTCACTCCTCTCTCAGTTGGAGTCATGGGAACTGAAGGAGTTCCTAGTAAAATCCCTGTACAGATACTGAAATGTAACTCAAGCCCTCTAAGAAATGCTAGTAGAGACTGCATAAATTAGACAAAACACAGAATGAGTGCAGCATGCCCTGTACCAGTTAACGGTGCATACAGAGATGTGCTTTGCTGATGATGCATCCAGTGCGTAGCTTTGTGAGTGGATTCGAGCCTGATTGCCCCAAGAGCACAACTTTGGTGTAAAAGTGTGCTCTGGCTTTTGGTGATCAGGTTAGAATGATAAAAATAGTCAGTGACCTAGAACACTGTCTATCTTTTTAAATGGTGTTAGCCAGCCTTGATCAGTTGTTTTTAGATACAGACGTTAATAATTAAAGCTGGACCCAAGCTCCATTGCTAATAAGGTTAATGGGGCTTGTCTTTCACCTTGGGCAGGAGCAGTGTGTGTAGACAACCTGGACAAATAAACAGTGAGTCTTACTATATAATGATTAAGCAGATTTTCCCTATATTTAAATGCATTTTATAAAAATACAAGTAATAGGAGGCCTGGGCATCATTCACATTAAGCTTGACATTCTTTTTTTTTTTTTTTTTGAGTCGGAGTTTCGCTCTTGTTGCCCAGGCTGGAGTGCAATGGCGCGATCTCGGCTCACCGCAACCTCTGCCTCCTGGGTTCAGGCAATTCTCCTGCCTCAGCCTCCTGAGTAGCTGGGACTACAGGCACGCGCCACCGTGCCCAGCTAAATTTTTTGTATTTTTAGTAGAGACGGGGTTTCACCATGTTGACCAGGATGGTCTCGATCTCTTGACCTCGTGATCCACCCGCCTCGGCCTCCCAAAGTGCTGGAATTACAGGCTTGAGCCACCGCACCCGGCCAAGCTTGACATTCTTATTAGAAAATGGTAAGATTTAATCCAGGCATTAGGCTTGAAATTGTGATTTCACCTCACCATTGCATCAGTTTTGCCTATGGTAGTGGCTTTCTAACACCATAGTGGGGCCTCTGCCTTTTTAGGGGCGCCTGGAACCCATTCCCTGCCTGTTTGCATCGAGCCCCGCCCCTATGAGCTCATGGTGTTTTTGTTTTTCTGCTGGAGAAGGCGGGGCCAAAGTGGGTGGCATGGGCGGAGCCCCGCTAGAGCTCGGACTGTTTGTCTTTGTCTTTCTGCTGGAGGAGCAGGGTGAACAGCTCTAAGGCACTTCCTACGCTACCTCGAATCCCCATGTCATCATTGTGTTTGCTTCCAGCAGAGCGTCCTGGCCAGAGCAAGCCAAGAAGTCAAGTCGAGAGGGACACACAGACAGACAACAGACAGAAGACGTACTGGCCGCTGGACCCTGCCGCCTCCCCCTTCCCACCATCTGCGCCCGGAGGATGAGCCCAGCCTTCAGGGCCATGGATGTGGAGCCCCGCGCCAAAGGCGTCCTGCTGGAGCCCTTTGTCCACCAGGTTGGGGGGCACTCATGCGTGCTCCGCTTCAATGAGACAACGCTGTGCAAGCCCCTGGTCCCAAGGGAACATCAGTTCTACGAGACCCTCCCTGCTGAGATGCGCAAATTCACTCCCCAGTACAAAGGTAAGCCCCAGCTGCTGGAGGGGTTGCCACACTGTCGAGGAGATGTAAGGGATCGTGGCCATAGAAGGCCCTGGCAGCCGTCCCTGGAGCCCTCACTCCTTCCCACTCTGTGCTTTTCCTCCCTCTCCTCCTCCTCCTCCTCCTCCTCCTCCTTGTCTTCCTCCTGGCCCTCAGCCCAGCACCTCACACCCTCAGTTTTCAAGCCTGGTAAGATTGCTCAATTCTGTTTTGTTTTGTGGATTTGAGTTTGATTTTGGTAGAAGTGTAGTTGTGTTTTATGTTCAGGTGTCTCTTGATCACAGTAACCCATAGTCCCCCGTGGTGGGGACGGTGGGGGAAGACTTTGGGAAGATTTTACCCAGAATACTTGCCGCCTGCTTTTTGTCCTCCAGGAAACCAGAAGCCCGGGTGATTAGGTAGGCCGGGGGAGCAGGGTTGAGTCAGATGGAATGCAGGAGTGGGAGGCCTGTGCTGATTAGCCCAAGCCCTTTGCTGTTACAGAATGTCCCCAAAATTGCTATGTGAAAGCAACCTTTCGATTCACATATAATTTTTTGTTCCTTTTTACAATGTATTTTATAGGGGACATCAGCAGCCACCAGCATGGTGGGGTCTTTGTTTGGGAGGGGGGAGTCTTTTGTAAATCAAGGAAGAATCCATTAAAGAAATTAACTTTAAATGTGTATTATCTGGTTACATAAGAGACTCTAGAACAACTTAGGTTCTTTTGGGACTGTTGAAACATTGTCTTTAAGCACAGAATGTACTGTCTCTGTACTCTGAATATGCATGTGTATTGTGGTGGGGATGGGGGAGTTGGGGGCCCTCACTTGGTCCTTTTCTGTTGTTTTTTCCAGGACAAAGCCAAAGGTCCCTTGTTAGCTGGCCGTCCCTACCCCATTTTTTCCCCTGGTCCTTTCCCTTGTGGCCACCGGGAAGTGTGGTCTGAATCCCCCACCCTGGCTCCTCTGCACCCAGAGCTGGGGGCCACCTCAGAAGTGTCATCTCTCTCTGAGCACGCATTCCCCTGCAGCAGTCGAGCGGGCAGGCAGCAAGGACTGAGCAGATTGAGTGATCCTGGGGCAGAGAGGCCTGGGAGGAAAGGTGTTCAGCCAGTCGTTTGTAAGGCGCTCGTCGGCACCTGCTGAAATGCCCCCCACCTGACAGCCCCATCCTCAAAGACTGATTACTCATGGCAGGTTCTAGAGACTTAAGGGGGAAAGCTGCTTTCAAGGTCACCACATGTTTGTGCTCCCCAACCAAATCTATCTGCCTTGTGATCATTTTGTTCTTTTGTGACGTGAGATTGCAAAGACCAATAAAAACATATTTTATAAGGAAAAAGGGCCTGGGTGCCTACCTCGTGTGGGGGCACTGTGGGAAACCTTTAAACCTTTGCTAGGGTGTCTTGTGCTGTGTGGTTTGTTTTGTTTGCCCCTTTATTTTGCTTTGCTTACCCAGTCTTCCCTTATTCTTGGTTCTTAACCCTCAGGCAAACCTGTGTTCCCCAGTATTCAGGCTCTGCTTTAAAGCAAGCTTTGAGGCTGCGGGAGTTTCTGTTTAGGGCATTAAAATTTCCCGCAAACTATAAAGAGCAATGTTTTAAGTCTTTTAGGATTAGAAGAGTTACATAAAAATTAATAAACATTTTCAATGATGGAAAAATGTGTCTTGTAATTCTTTGGCTCTTGCCTTGTTGAGTACATCAGAGAGGAAGACTCTCGGCCATGTTTGCTCCCTAATTGCTTGTCTTGTATGGTGTCATCTTTTCTAGCTGTTTTGATATTTGTTAAGTTTGCAGATGAGTTTGGGGCCTCTGGCAACATAGAGACTAAGGAACTGGGTAAGAAAAAAACAAATGTTACAATCATGTTACTTACAAGGCTTCTTCCTGTGGAATTAAAAGTACTTTCTGCTCCTCACCCCCTTCCAGGTGTGGTATCTGTGCGCTTTGAAGAAGATGAAGACAGGAACTTGTGTCTAATAGCATATCCATTAAAAGGGGACCATGGAACTGTGGAGATTGTAGATAATTCAGACTGTGAACCAAAAAGTAAGCTCCTAAGGTGGACGACAAACAAAAAACATCATGTCTTAGAAACAGAAAAGACCCCTAAGGACTGGGTGCGCCAGCACCGGAAAGAGGAGAAAATGAAGAGGTGAGTGGAGACTGAGCAGCCAGCCCTTGGCTGTGTGGGAGGGTTGGGGATTTTGGTTACAGCCCAGTTCCCTGGAGCTAAGGACGTAAGTGGACTTATTAGGTGCCCTGTCATTCAGTGGCTAATTCCCACATGGTATGCTCTGCCTCTCTTTTATTGTAATTGACTCTGGTTAGATCATGCCAGTTTGGATAAACAGCTGCACTGGCCTCTGTAAGAGATTCACTCACTTTTCTATGACTGCTGTGTGCCAGGCTGTGAACTGGAGATGTAGCAGAGACCGACAGGAGCCATCCTTTTACCTCAGGTTGTTCACCAATAGTTGAAGACAAAATGGGCAGTTGGGCATCCCCAAAACTCAGTGATCCCCCTAAGCAGGGCCATCCTACTCCTGCACCTTGGCAAAGCTTGTGAAAATATAAATAGTATATATAAATTAAAGAACATATAATGCAGCTCAGTAGGTTCACCTATTCCCATGGAATTTGAGTTTCTATTTTCCCAGTCATCAGATTTTGGAGTTGGGGGAAGCTGCTTGTACTGGAGGCTAGGTGGTACTACTTCCTAGAAGAGGGCAATGAAGGCCCTCCACATACAGGGGCTGGGGAGCAGGAGTTGATCTTGGATCTTAGGTTCTTTTTGCTGTAGAAAATAGTAGTTGGCTGTCCCCTAATTTTATTTTTTAAGATCAACTTTCTTGAGGTATACATACGGTAAAATGCACGCATTTGAAGTGCTCAAAGAGTTTTGGCAAATGTGTACACGGTAAGCCACCACCACATCAAGAAGTCACTTTTCATTACTGTGGAAAGTTTCTCACCGGGTGTGGTGGCTCACACCTGTAATCCCAGCACTTTGAGAGGCTAAGGCGGGTGGATCACCGGAGGTCATGAGTTCTAGAGCAGCCTGACCAATATGATGAAACCCTCTCTCTACTAAAAATACAAAAATTAGCCGAGTGTGGTGGCATGTTCCTGTAATCCCAGGTACTTGGGAGGCTGAGACAGGAGAATCATGTGAACCTGGAAGGTGGAGGTTGCAGTGAGTTGAGATTGTGCCATTGCACTTCAATCTGGGCAACAAGAGTGAAACTCTGTTTTAAAAAAAATAAAGACAGTTTCTTTGTGCCTCTTTTAACCCTGAATTTCTTTCTTCCTTTCTTTCTTTTTATTTTTAGACGGAGTCTCACTTGCTCTGTCGCCGAGGCTAGAGTACAGTGGTATGATATTTTTGGCTCACTGCAACCTCTGCCTTCTGGGTTCAAGCAATTCTCCTGCCTAAGCCTCCTTAGTAGCTGGTACTACAGATGCACACCACCATGCCCAGCTAATGTTTGTATTTTTAGTAGAGACGGTTTTACCATGTTGGCCAGGGTGGTCTCAAACTCCTGAACTCCTGACCTCAAGTGATCTGCCCATCTCGACCTCCCAAAGTGCTGGGATTACAGGCGTGAGCCACCGAACTCGGCCTTCTAAATTCTGATAAGACATACTGATGTATTGGTCCTTGTCTCTTTATAGCCATAAGTTAGAAGAAGAATTTGAGTGGCTAAAGAAATCTGAAGTCTTGTACTACACTGTAGAGAAAAAGGGGAATGTAAGTTCCCAGCTTAAACACTATAACCCTTGGAGCATGAAATGTCACCAGCAACAGTTACAGAGAATGAAGGAGAATGCAAAGCACCGGAACCAGTACAGTATCCTTTGTTCATGGGCATCTCTGCATCGAGGGTTAGGGGAGAGAAAACAAGGAAGGCCCTTGGATCTTGGAGAGAGAGGTTGGGTATTTGTAGTCATGGTTGAGTTTCTTCTATCTGGGTTATTTCAGAACACCCTGTATGATAATTATGGGCAAATAATCACTTCCCTCAGGGCAGCTACTGGCCTAGGAGTGCAGATGATGAGGAGTGGGGTATAATGGGTCTCTGGGAGGTGAGGGGTGCCTCATGAAGGGGCCAGCTTGCATCAGGTGGACTTTGGCCTAGATAACCTAGAGGAAGAGGGCAAGGGGCTGCCTCCTGTTTTCAGACTCTCTTCAGAAGTCTCAAAACATGGCTCACCTGCAAAGGACTGAGGTTTTTGGGTGAGGAGACTGACCTTTCACTCCCGGTTCACCAGACTGGCACTGGCACTGGACATGAGCAGTACATGAGGAAATCTTTCTTCTCTCTTTTCTTTTTTCTGGAGACAGAGTCTTGCTCTTTTCCCCAGGCTGGAGTGCAGTGGTGTGATCTCGGCTCACTGCAACCTTGGCCTTCCGAGTTCAAGTGATTCTTATACCTCAGCCCCCCTAGTAGTTGGCATTACAGGTGTCTGCCCCCACGCCCGGCTAATTTTTGTATTTTTAGTGGAGACGGGGTTTCACCATGTTGCCTAGGCTGGTCTCAACTTCTGACCTCAGGTGATCTACCTGCTTTGGCCTCCCAAAGTGCTTGGATAACAGGCCATGAGCCACCCCCTCTCCCCCTGCCTTCTCCATCCCTCCCCTTTATAAAGGTGAGGTTTCACTATGTTGCCCAGGCTGGTCTCAAACTCCTGGGCTCAAGTAATCCTCAGCCTCCAAAAATGTTGGGGTAATAGGTGTGAGCCACCATGCCTAGCCTGTATCTATTTTTTTGGTCTCTTAAAAATGTGAAAACCATTTCTAGCTTATAGGCCATGCAACAAACAGCAAGCAGTGGGCCATACATAGTGTGCTAGTTTCCCCTCTAGGGAGCACTGGTTCCTTGAATGGAAACTGACGAAACAATGGTCTGTGCACTAGACGCACTCATAAATTCTGGTCATTGTTTCTAGACCTTACTAGTGCACACAGCTGGGAAGCAGACGTTTACTTTAAAGAGAAAAGTAGCTGGGCCCGGTGGCTCATGCCTGTAATCCCAGCTCTTTGGGAGACTAAGGCAGACGAATCACAAGGCTGAGAGTTTGAGGCCTGCCTGGCCAACATGGTGAAACCCTGTCTCTACTAAAAATGCAAAAAATTAGCTGGGCATAGTGGCGGGCATCTGTAATCCCAGCTACTTGGAAGGCTGAGCCAGGAGAATCGTTTGAAAGCAAGAGGCGGAGGTTACAGTGAGCCGAGATCGCGCCACTGCACTCCAGCCCTGGCAAGAGAGTGAGACTCCGTCTCAAAAATAATAATAATTAATAAAATAAAGAGAAGGCCGGGCACAGTGGCTCATTCCTGTAATCTCAGCACTTCGGGAGGCCGAGGTGGGCAGTCACAAGGTCAGGAGATCCTGGCCAACATGGTGAAACCCCACTGAAATACAAAAAACTAGCCGGGTGTGATTGTGCACACCTGTGGTCCCAGCTACTCGGGAGGCTGAGGCAGGGAATCACTTGAATCCGGGGGACAGAGATTGTAGTGAGAAGAGATCGTAACGTTGCACTCCAGCCTGGCGACAGAGGGAGACTTCATCTCAAAAAATAAAATCAAATAAGAGAAAAGTATTTTCATGAGTTTATACAGATACTTCCAGTTCACATATAAGGCTACAGGATTTACTGAACTTCCTTGATGTTCTACTTGTAATTGAGAACTTTGTTTTTGGACCCTAGTCCTACACTTAGCTAACAGTTCAGGAAATGGCTTGTATGTCTCCCAGGCTGGAAGAGCCCAGGCCTGAGAGTCCAGGTGTAGGCTGCTTTCACACCAGTTCCCTGACAAGAAGTAAAGGTGTCTCTCAGCTTTCTGCTCAGCCCTGGACTCCCTATGTGGAGGCAGCAAACTAATGGAGTCTCCTGTGGGTCACTGCATCCAGACACTGTGCCTTGGGAGTACCAAGGACCCATGCAGTAGCATTTCCTTTTGGGGGTATTTTTCTTAACTACTCAGAATTTATCTTACTGGAAAACCTGACTTCCCGCTACGAGGTGCCTTGTGTCCTTGATCTCAAGATGGGCACACGACAACACGGTGACGATGCTTCAGAGGAGAAGGCAGCCAATCAAATCCGAAAATGTCAGCAGAGCACATCTGCGGTCATTGGTGTGCGTGTGTGTGGCATGCAGGTGAGGGGGATGCTAGGGCTGGCTAGGGCATCCAATGGCTGTCACTTCCCCATCCTGGCATAGTCCTGTTTGCTCAAAAGATTCCAGGCCAAGTCCGATGGCTCACACCTGTAATCCCAGCACTTTGGGAGGTCAAGGCGGGTGGATCACCTGAGGTCAGGAGTTCGAGACCAGCCCAGACAGCATGGCGAAACCCTGTCTCTACTAAAAATACAAAAATTAGTTGAGCATGTTGGTGTATACCTGTAATCCTAGCCACTTGGGAGGCTGAGGTACAGGAACAGCTTGAACCCAGGAGGCGAAGGTTGCAGTGAGCCGATAACCGCAGCATTGCACTCCAGTGTCTCTAAATAAAAAGATTCTGGGCCAGGCACGGTAGTTCACGCCTGTAATCCCAGCACTTTGGGAGGCCAAGGCAGGTGGATCATGAGGTCGGGAGTTCAAGACCAGGCTGGCCAGCATGGTGAAACCCCATCTCTACTAAAAAAAAAATATGCAAAAATTTAGCTGGGCATGGTGGCATGTGCCTGTAATCCTAGCTAATCCAGAGGCTGAGACAGGAGAATTGATTGAGCCTGGGAGGCGGAGGTTGCCGTGAACTGAGATTGTGCCACTGCACTCCAGCCTGGGCAACAGAGCAAGACTCCGTCGAAAATAAAGATTCCAGATTTAACTCCACATGAGTCTGTTGCCTTTTGGTTAAAAAAGAAAGCATGCATGCCTGCATGATCCTGAGATTGGGTTGATTGACTGAGTCCAGAATCTGTGGACAGTAGTAGGGAAGAAAGCAAGAGGGTAGGTCCTCTCCAGTGACCCAGATGTTGAGTTGGGGTGCCAGAGCACAATGACCAAACCCAGGTTGGATGGCTGCATCCCAGGTGGGGGTCGATCAGAGAATATAGTGGACAGTGGCTCATGTGTGACTGGTGTACTTAACAAGTTTTCATCTGATCTGATCTGTCACATCGCTCACACACATACATACCACTGCCCAGGATCCAAGGTTTGAGATGGCCCTTAGCCCCTGACTTGCTGGTCTCTCTCCTACAGGTGTACCAAGCAGGCAGTGGGCAGCTCATGTTCATGAACAAGTATCATGGACGGAAGTTGTCAGTACAGGGCTTCAAGGAGGCACTTTACCAGTTCTTCCACAACGGGCGGTACTTGCGCCGTGAACTCCTGGGCCCTGTGCTCAAGAAGCTGACTGAACTCAAGGCGGTGTTGGAGCGACAGGAGTCCTACCGCTTCTACTCAAGCTCTCTGCTGGTCATCTATGATGGCAAGGAGCGGCCGGAAGTGGTCCTGGACTCAGATGCTGAGGACTTGGAGGACCTGTCAGAGGAGTCAGCTGATGAGTCTGCTGGGGCCTATGCCTACAAACCCCTCGGTGCCAGCTCTGTAGACGTGCGCATGATCGATTTTGCACACACCACCTGCAGGCTGTATGGCGAGGACACTGTGGTGCATGAGGGCCAGGATGCTGGCTATATCTTCGGGCTGCAGAGCCTGATAGACATTGTCACAGAGATAAGTGAGGAGAGTGGGGAGTGAGCTTGCTAGCTGCTCCAGTACCTGAGAGACTCTCTGTGTCCCTGGAACAGCTGTGCTGCATCAGGGAGGAGGCCAGTATGGCCAGGTGGTGGCTCCTGCAGCCTGGAGCTGATGTGCAGTGGCCTCTGTGAGCCCCAGCCTGAGCCAGCCCCAGCTGCGCTTGGAGTCTTTATTTATTTTAACTATTTCTTCAACATTCCACATTTGATGATGATACCTCTTTCTTCCCCGAGTGTATCTGTCCTAATACAAATCTTTTTGTTTATTGTATGTAGTGCTGCTGTCATTCTTTCAAGGGCAGGGAGTCGCCCTCCCAACCCTAGGAATCCTTACCACATGCTGTGACCACCTTCCTGGTTCAGTATTCTGGCCACCACCACTACCCCATGGATCCTAAAGTCAGCCCAGCCTCTTGGCATGGTCTGCAGTCTCCAATCTAGCATGCTGAAGGTCACCCAGAAAGGATCCCCCCACATACATACCTTAGCCAGATTCTTCTGGGATCTGTGCCAGCTGAGAGTCTCAAACCACACAACACTTGGCACAGGTGTTCTCGTGGGTCCTATGCAACTTAAGCCAGTTAGGTAGCAGGTGCTGCAAACCTTGGGTCCAGCTTTTAATCCCTTCTATGCCACTGGCAGCAGCTAATTGGCTGGCTATTGTGATAGATGTCCTGGAGCCAATACTCATGTCTCTAGCCTCTAGGCTCTGGTCCATTGGCAGCCATGATCTATGTTGTAAAGGGGCCCACGTGATAGAGGGCACGTTAAAAGGGCGTGTTTGGGTAGGTAGGGTGGACCTCTTGGCCACACCACCTGTCACCACTCCTGCCCAGCCCTGGGCCCCATTGCAATTACACCAAGTCTCTTCAAGTAGTCCCAGCCATCACAGACCCTGAGATTCTACTCCTCTGCCCCAGGAGGGCTTCTGGGAGGAGGAGGGGCCAAGAAAGGACTTAAACTGCAGAGCCAGACCTGGTGCAGAGAAGGCACGGTCTGGATGTTAGTTTCTAGCTGTTCTACCCCTCAACTGAACCTCGCAGTATGCCTATGTACTCTAGACATAAAAATAGGCAACTGGATCAGACTGATTACAGGATCCCAACACTGGAAGGCTGAGGCGGGAGGACTGCTTGAGTCCAGGAATTTGAGACTAGCCAGAGCAACATAGCAATACCTTGTCTCTACTTAAAAAAAAAAAAAAAATTAGCTGAGTGTGGTGGTGCATGCCTGTAGTCCCAGCTACTTAGGAGGCTTCAGCCTGGAAGATCAAGGCTGCAGTAAGCTTGATCATCCCACTGTACTTCAGCCTGAACGACAGAGCAAGACCCTGTCTCAAAAAATAAATACAGATAAAAGTAGAAAACCTGCACACACTGGCCTGGTCATATCCACGACCCTGCTTCTTGTGGAGTGGGCTCAGGCTTCCTGTGGAGTGTAGCTTAGTCATTCTCAGCCACCATCTCTCCAGGACCCTGAAGGCCTCTTCCCTGACCAGGATTTCAAATACCTGGAGGTCTGGGCTGACTGGAAAGCTGAGAGGATCAAACAGGTTTTTGAGGCCGCATGGTACCCCACTCCCTCTTCCAGCCCTCCTGTATGCTCTCAGAAAGAGGCATCAGAAATCTTAAATCCTATAAAGGCAATAAAGCACAGCAAGATGATAGCTATTGATAGGGATGGGAGTTTGACGGACAAATACTATAGGAGACAGAAGGGAAGAGTGTCCCAGGTAGAGGGAACAAAATATGCAAAGACCCAATATAGAGAAAACCAGCCATGGCTGAAGAGAGAGGAGGAGGAGGGGTGGGGAGCAAAGATGGGAGGGCTTTAGACAAGGAATAGCCCCGCCTGGTTTCTTCTGTTTTTATAGCCCTCTTTTCCTCACCCTTGCTCCCCACTGGCCACCACCGGCACTCGGTGAATAGAGGTGGTGAGGCCTAGACATACAGAGGAGAGCTGGGCCCCACGGGGGCTTCCAAGTGTCGGATCAGCAAGATCGTCTTTTCGAAGTCGCCGTCCTTGCAGTTAGTAGATGGGACCCACTCCGCCAGGGCGGCGGGAGCGGAGCGCGCTTTCACCGGGAGGTAGGACGGGACGCAGCGCTAGGACTTGAGCGAGGAAAGGGAGCCGAGGGCTGAACGGATGAAGCCAAGGCCAGTGAGAGGAATGAGGGTGCGGGGTCCGGGGATGAGGGGCCTGGAGTCCTGGAGTCGGGAGGGACCAGAGGCGGCAGCGAGCTCTGGAGCCCCGCCCCGCCGCACCTCTCATGGCCGCGCGGGGGCGCTGCGCTCCGGCGCGTGGAACGTTACAGCCCGGGGCGGGGCTTTGGCGAGCGGGCGCGCGCGCGCATGCTTGGTGTGTCACGGGGCGGGGCGAGCGCGGCGCGGCGCGGAGCTTCGGGCCTGGCGTTGTGGCTCCGCAGCGCTTACCACCTTTCCTGCACCTGACCGGCCCAGCCCCATGTACCGCGCGCTGTACGCGTTCCGCTCGGCGGAGCCCAACGCGCTGGCGTTCGCCGCGGGCGAGACCTTCCTGGTCCTGGAGCGAAGCAGCGCGCACTGGTGGCTGGCAGCGCGGGCGCGCAGTGGTGAGACGGGCTACGTGCCACCAGCCTACCTGCGCCGCCTGCAGGTGAGTGCGCCCCTCCCCGCCCGGCCTCCGCGCCCTTAGGGCAGGACCCCTTCACAGCCCCGCGGAACCGACCCAGGAACCCCACCCTCTCCGGGACCCGAGGCCAGGACCTCTATCAGACAGGCAGTTTGAGAACCTGACCCTCGGACCCACGAGGGCTGAGACCCCAAGAGTCAGCGTCACCCACAAAAGACCAGGCCCTTGACAGCCCAACTCCCGATCGACCAAAAGCCTAACTCTGGGACTGAGACTCCTCGGTACCCTAGACCCAACAATGTCAAATCCGCCAAGTGAATGGCGACCCTGAGATTCCATCCCCACCGAATTCTGGCCAATTATTCAAATCCCTGAGACCCCAGATCCTTAATATGATCCTTCTGCGGATTCCTAGGACCCCACACCCACCCTCCCTCCCTCCTTCCTTCCCCCTTCCCCTTTTCCCTCCCCCCTCCCCCCGTTGAAGCCACCACTGAGACCTGGGCCACCTTGGACACCACCTGTTTCCCCAGCCATCCTGCAGGTCCTCAACCCCCCAACTTGGACACTGGAACCATAGACACCTCCATCCTCTATGTGACACCCAAGCTTTGGTACTTTAGTGTCTTTCACTAGCCTGTGCTCAGCCACCCTCTAGGCTCTTCTTAAGTCTCTCCTAACCTTATTTGAACCAAGGACCCAGGCCTCTGCTGACAGGGCACACTGCTCCCTCCACTCCCCAGCCCTGACTTCTCAAACATTCTTCCTTTGAAAGTGAGGGGGCTCCATCCCTTCTTTTCCCCAGCCTAGAGTGGAGACTGCTCCCATTGTGTTGAAATGAGTTCTTATAGCTTCCCCTGGTCTGCCCGTGGCCCCATTTCCTTCCAGTGGAAGCTGCAGTCCCAGTTCCTGTTTCCCTAAGAGCAGCCCTGCTGCGGGGGTTGGGGTGCAGTGTCTCCAGCTGGTCTATTCTGACCAGAGGGGGAAGAAGGGCCCAGAGCTGCCTGGCCTGTGCCAGACACCCCCGCCCCGTCCTAGTCCCGATCCTTTAGGAAACAGCCTGTCCCAGCCCAGTTCAGGACAGAAATAACAGGATAAATTTAGAAGTGTCATCTGGTCTTACCAGGGAGGATGGGCCCTGGGCCCTAGGGGCTTCCTCATAGACCCTTGGTGTGATCCCATCTAGGAGTGCCTGGGGTGAGAGTGAGGGCCGTGGATACCGTGGTTGCTGTGTGTCAGACCCATCCTTTTTGGGAATGGGGTTTCATTGATGGCCTCTGAGGAAAGCCCTGTCTCTTCCCCTACTGGGCATAGAAGTCAAGGGTCTATAAGTCCCCTGCTTCCAGCCAGGACCAGTGGGGCAAAGTGTTTATGGAGGGCAGAGAGGCTACCATCTTCTCTGTCACCGTTTCTTAGTTTCTTTCTGCGTGTCTCTTTCTGTCTCATTGCTGTGACTCTCTGTGCCTCTCTGCCGGTGTCGTTCCGACTCCACCTGTGTGTATTTTCATTTCTTCCTCCGACGCTCCCCCACACTGTGGCTCTGGCTCTCAGTTTCTTTCTGCATTGTTTCCCTCTGTCTGCTTCTCCATTCCTCTCTGAGCTCCTCTCTTTCTCCATGCCTTTCTTACTGTGTGTATGTGTCTTTCTTTTTCTGTCCCCCCATCTGTCTTCTCTACCTGCACTCTGGCACACCTCATACCACTTGGAGGGCTTTGCTGACCTCCATGCCCACCTGTCTGTCCCCATCGGGGAAGCTTCTCAGCTTCTCAAACTGATGGTGGAGTGAGTTCATCTCAGCTCTGGGGCTCCTGTATAGCCTGATGACCATGTGTGCCAGGGTCAGGGGAGGGCTGGGGGTAGCTGGTCCCCCACACCCCCCATCACAAATAGGCCGGGTAGACTGGACCCCTGGGTTGTTGGGGATGGCAATACAGAACCTGGAGCAGGGCCTAGGCCCCTCTCTCATGTTCATCCTTTGCCACAAACACAGAACTGCTTCCTAGGGAAGGTCTGGAAGCTTACTGAGATACCTTGTGGGGATGAGGGCCGGAGCAGGGTTGGGGAGGGTAAGTCCCTTTGACCAGCTCCCAGGGCTTACAGACGGCTCTGCAAAGACAGGGCTGTGCTGGGGTATGACCTTGGTTTTGCGAAAGAGCAGCAAGATGCAGAGTGATGTATTAAGGATTCCAGACATGGAGGCCTCCTGCTTAGCATCTCAACCTGGGCTCTGAGCCAAAATCAGGGATAGACTAGGTATGCACTCCTGGCCCCAAGCTGGGAATCTCTGGGCTTTTTTGCTTTAGACCTCTGATTTTCAGAGACATCTTAGCCAAGAGACTTGCTGCGGGGTAAAATCCTGATCGGGGCCTCCATATGTAATGTGGCTGCATGGGGGTCACCCTGTGCCTCAGCTCCCGGAGTGATGCAGTTTGAAAACCTTATTCCATATTCTGGTTCAACTTTCTGTGCTGTGTCTAGCATTCCAGGCTTTAGCTGTAGTGGTGTTCTGACCTGGGTTCTGTCTCGGTCTGGGTCTGGGCTGAGCACCTCCATTTGGCCTTCAGGTCTAACTGCTGTCCCCTGCTCCCCAGGGCCTGGAGCAGGATGTCCTCCAGGCCATTGACCGGGCCATCGAGGCTGTACACAACACAGCCATGCGGG